TCGTTTAGTAGGATTTTACCACTGCGCAGGTGGGCGTGGTTTAATAAGAACAACCAGTCGAATACGGCCATTATCATTGCATATTATTATATTCAAATTTCTGAATAAATCAGTACACAACATTGTAATGTTACACAGTTTATTTTACCCTAACCCCCTAATTACTCTAAACACTCTTTAAGAATAACGCGGCTCCTGTTTGTATCCACAATTCCTGGTTTACTCCACATGGTAACTTCAGCTTAGTGACGATCTTCTCCCTCTCGGCCGAGAAGTACACAGGCAGGGAGATGCACTCGCTGGGGCTGTACGGGTCACTCGTGTCCTTAGCTACCCAGGCTACCGTGCAGGCAGGCACAGAGGACACGCTGGGGGAGTTAGGCTGGTTGCCTGTCAACATGTTTCCATCAAAGGTACAACCCTCGAGCTGGAGTCCTCCAATCTGAAAGATTATGATATAGTTTCGAGATTCAATTTTTGCTCTTGTAAATCAATATTAAATTTATTTGTCCTGTACCAATAACATTAGATATTAAAACATAGATTTAACATTTATTCTCTTTTTAGATACTTTCTGTTAACATCTATTATATACTGTAAACAATGGTAAAAGATAAAGATATAATAATAATAATTATTACAACAATAACAATGATATTAATAACAGCAACAATATCTATAAAATTAGTAATATCTACAGTAACATCAATGGCAACAATAATATAACAATTACCTTTACTGATTGTTTGGTACCAGGGATTCCTCCTGCCCATTTGCAGACAAATTTCAGCCCATCCATGGACGACTTGCTCTCTCTGGTGGAGAAAAGAAATTATTACATAAAATTAAAAATTTGCAAGTTTCTATATTTCATTATTATTATCATTAACAGCATCATCATCACTATCATCTGTCATCATTATTATTATCAGCATCATCAACCTTATTGTCAGTAGGTGCAATAATTTGTTTAGAATTTCACCTAATTACAATTTATTTTAATTTTTTGTTTTTATTATTTTATTCAGCTTAAGGCCAATGATGCCAAACAGTAGACTTTAAAATGGCAATCCTATCATGAGATAAACTAACACACAAGATGCACTACATAATAGACCAAGTCCCTTTGGGAATGGAATTGAACGGTGACAGGAATTGAACCCAGGACCCTGGCATTGGAATGCAAGCATCTTAACCACTATGCTATTCAACTCCACTTCAAATTCAGACATTTATATATCAATTTTTTAAAATATTGATATAATATAATACTTTTAAAATTGTGAAAAGAATCAATGAAAGCATCAAACCTTGCTGTTTGCTGGCGAAGAGCATTCAGGAATGTGTCTGGGTGGAAAAGTTCTGAGAGATCCACGGTGTCAGATAAAAGAGAATTGGATTGCACCTTCTGCACCCACCCCTGTAAAGCAATGGTACGTGCCACTAAGGTCCTCATGTAGTGGATTGGGTCTTCTGGACCATCCCACTTCTTCTGCCAAGTAAGAGGTACCTATAATAAAAATATAAAAAAATATGATAAAATATTGTTTGTTGTGTATGACAAAAATTTAATAATGTTTTATTCATAGTGCTTGACAAAGAAGAGTTTTCTTTAATATGAAACACACCATTGATAGATAACCAACGTAAATTTTCAGTGGGGTCCTTCTAATGATGAATTGGGTTGTACACTGGGGGACATTTTCCTACTTTTTTTTAGAAAAATGCACTGCGTTAACATGCACATGGGCCATTGCATATCAGACCAACAATTTCAATAATAGATGATGCACAATACAAGTGCCATTCAGCCCTCGCCAGTGAAACACAAAGTGAGCAGTGATGGAATCTACCAAGGACCACAGTTATCTAGGAATCTCCCTGGTCCAGCGCACATACTGTGGCTACCACTAACTTAGCCAAATGACATACTGCCCTCACAGTCTAACAAACATACCTCTTGGTTTAAAAGACTCATAGCAAGAGCACTGACTTCACTGGTTAGTAGAATCGAGCCTCGGATCACTTTACTAAGGCTAGCCAGAGTAGAGTGGACGTACTGGACAAGTTGAATAGCATTATAGTGTTCCAGTAGGATGAAGGAATTAATCGGTGGCTCAGTTCCGGACTTGTCTGTTGGCAGCTGAACCTTAGCATGGATAAGCTGTGAACCCTACAAAAAAGAATTAAAAATACAAGAGAGGTTGAAAAAAGAATTTAAAAAAATAAAAATATAAATAAAAATATTTAAAAAATAAAAAATAAATTTTAAAAAATAAAATAAAAAAATAAAATAAATGCATTTTAAAAATATAAATAAATATAATAATATACTTAAAATCTGTTTGGTGGTGAACTGATCTGCTGACAATGATGATGATGATGATAATAATAATGCTAAAGCCTCAATATGCTAGCTTTACGATCAAACAAAAACTCTTACCTGGTTTAATTTCTTCCACAGAGACAGCACAGGTGAAAGTTCACTCGACCATTTCTCTTTATCAAATTTTCCAGCTTCTACATCCAGCCGTCGGAGGACCTTCAGCTGTGATATAACCTGTCCACTTATAAAGCGCTGCGTTGAGCGTTCAATGTTTGCAGGCAATCCAAAGAATGATGGCTTGTCATTCTCGGGGAAGTTGGCAACAAGATCTGTGAAGTCCTGTTTTAAAGATGGAAGTTACAATTTTACTTTGTAAATTGAAAAAAAAAAAAAAAAAAATCAAAAAACCAATAAGCTTTCCATCTCATCAACATGACAAGATTCCACATAAAATGTGTGAATGATTAAGATAGTATCATTAGCTATTAGTGCTTCTATCATTAGTTTACGCATACTGAATATTGTTTCAAACACGACTTAGCATACCTTGTAGTAACAAGTGGTAGGAAGGGATATATTCGCTGTTAGTTTCTTGCGTGCTTTACCCCCACTCAACACGTCCTTGTTAAAATACTGAGTGAGGTATGACTGCAACACTCGCAAATCAAATGTGTTGTCGACTCGGCCACCATAAATTGCATTCTCAAATAAGCCATGTATGAAGTCCCAAGAAACGTCTTTCACTATGGGGAAAAAAAAATATTCAACATAATATGACAAATGCTTAACTACAAATAAATTATAAATTAAATATCAAAAAAAAGAACTACAAAACAAGATTAAACGACATACTGTATAAGGAAAAATTAATGACATCTAAACAAATTACAATTAGAAACATTGTTAAATAGTCAATACTGTAAAATTCCAACTGCAGAAAGAAAGTCTCTGATTGCTCCACAATTATATTTTCATTTTCTTTAATATATAGTGCACATATCCAGAAAACGGCTCAGGACACTTTTCCCCTGCCATTGGAAATAGAATCAATCAAACACAACGTGCAACCTCCTGCTCTCCCTCGAAAGTATTCCTAGTTATGCGTGTAATCAGCACTACTAATTTCATTCCGAATCATTTACCTCCTACCAGGTACCCATTTATACTCCTGGGTAAAGAGAGGCAAATGCAGATAAGTGTCTTGACTAAGGACACACGCAGTGTGATGAGCATCGGTCTCGGACCCCCGACATTCCGACTGTAAGCCCAACGCCTTATATGCTGCGCCACACGCTTTTAAAATGTGATAAGCTGCAATGAGCAAAGCATCTGAGAAACAACTTACAAGACTTCGAGCAGATTCTGTCTATGATGTCAGCCCCAGCTCTGAGGTCTGACATGGAGAATTCATAGAACTTTGTCCATCCTTGTGGAATGAAATTTCTTCTCTCCTGACAGACAGCGTGGAACCATGCCAGAGCAAAAAGAGCTTGTGCACGAATGACATTGTTATTCTTGCCGACGAAGTCTGTTGACCAGGAATCGTAGCTACGCTGGAGGTTCTTTTTGATGCCTGGTGGTGCCTAGAAAAACAAAATCTACATTTTAAACAACACAATAAATAACTAATTATTTATATCTAAATATTTAGTTATTCCGAACGCAAAGAGTACAATGAAAGACTATGTGGTGAAGAGCATACGTTATGTAAGGACACTTCCATTATTTTTCGAGGGGTGTCAGATTATCTTGCAAAGAAATAAATTCATAATAATAATACATTTTAAATAGAACCGTGACTTGATGTTTAATGCGCTTGTCATCAAAACCCAGTGTTTAAATCCAGTTAAAACCAGTATTTTTTTACTCCCCAGCCCCATATATGGGAAGTCATTCCCTAAAAACTAGGTGGAGATAATACAAATTGGTTTACTGTATTCTGTTACCTCATAGGTCACTTTCAGACTGGACTGCAACAAGATGGTTGGGAACTTGGGGTGGCTCTCAGCAGTCAGCCACAACCTGAAGCTGTCATGGGTTACAAGAGAGTTCAGCTCCTAAGGAGGTAAAACAAAAATTAGTGTTTGCTGTGAAGACATTAAGTCAGTAACATGATAACTTTGGTGTGACTATGATGATGATAGTGACAGCGATGCCATTGATGATAGTGATGTTAAATACGATATGCTGATGGTGATGACATCATAGCTATGATTACAGTGATTGTTAGAGTGATGCCAATGGCTGATTGACCGTCATATTCAATGTAATAATGACAATGATTATGGTTGATGAGAAAAGTGTTCAGTGTGATCTTGATGATTATGGTGATCAATGATGATGATCAAAATGATAATGATGATGATCACAATGATAATGATGATGATGATGATGATGACAACTATTTAATTTAATGAAATAACAAAGATAAAGATAATGCCGATTTAATTGATAGTGTTTAACATGAGGGTGATGATGTTATCAATGAGATGATCATAATCGTAGGTAGATTATAATGATGATTATGCTGATTAAGATCATAATGTTATGATGATGGTAATGATGCTTGTTATTACTAATGATTATGATGAAGTTTGATGTGCAGATGTTTTTAATAAAATGACGATATTAAATGACAAATTATGGGAAAAACTACACATACCTTTTCCAAGACTGGGAGCCAAGCAGTGACAAGGTGGAGGTTCTTAAGACAAAGCCACTCTCCATTCCTGGCACATTCATGAAGTAACTGCATAGCAATATCGGCCTGCCCCTGTCCCATGGCAACCTAGAGATGCAACAGTAAAATCAAACAATTATGAAACAATTACACAAATTCTTGTGCATAAAATTACTAAATAAAAAAATAAAAACCATGCAATCCTATTTCCAAAATAGTAATGATAAAGAAGTTAATAAAAAATTTTCCAAATCAGGATTTGGACCCAACACCATATTTCAATTGCTCTACCAATTGAGCCATGAGGCCAATACCGCCCTCTACGTACCTGGTGGTACTTGTCAGTGCCTATGATCTCATCAGCAAGTTCTTGAAGCTCTTCCGAGGCATCGGCACCAGGAGAGATGATGATGAGTATTGGTTCCGATGACACTGTCTCTGGATACAGACGTTTCAGGTTTAATGATGGTGGAGACAGCTCCTTCATACCTATAATTAACAATTGGAATAAATATTTATGACCAGTGCCACATCTAGTGAGCTTAGCAGTGTATTTAGGGGTGCGTGGGGGCACACAAACACCCTAATATTCGTACCCTCCCCCAGTCGCCCCTCCATTGAATATTTAAGCAAAAAATCATGCTAAAGTAGTTAAAAAGCACCTCAAATCACCTTATTTTGTGAGCTGGCGCCCCCTCACCTAATCAGCGAGGCCCCACTTCATCACCTTTGCGCCCCATCAGCCCCTCCAATTGAAGAGACTCCTAGACAAACCACTGGAGCATAGGTATATGATGATGGTGATGACGAGGTGTGGTTGGTAATTATGATAATGGTAGTAATGGTGATAACGATGAAATAATTAATAAATATAACATGTTACAGATTAACTTACCTAGAGCTTTACAGGCAAACACACCCATGGCGCTCTGTAGACGATCAGGCCGAACAGTTTGAATAACAAGTAACTGCAATGCAAAAAAAAAAAATAGCATATTCTCTATAAAGCTCTCTCCAGATTATCAAATTTCTTTGAAAAAACTGTTGTATGCCCATATATAGTCATGATGTGCCTACATATGGTCATGATGTGATGTCATCATGACCATATTTAGGCATGTCTCATGTTTTTGTAAAATAAAATTTGATAGTCTGGACTGGGCTCTACTCTTTTTGCTTAACAACTGATTTTTTAATCTCATGTTAGTGAACATTCATAGTTAGTGAATATTCATATCCCAATAGTAGAAGTTTGATCTCATGAGTGAACTTTTGATCTCATTGTGGTTTAAGTTTGATCTCATATTTGTGAATATTTGATATATAGGTGGAAGGGCAATCCATTGAAAATTTGACCTTAAATTAAGTTTTAATTCATTTTAGTAAAAATATTATCTCATTGTAACAAAGGTAGCAAGTACTGTCGATTTGCTACCTTTGTATGTTACTATTTATATTTTTATATATTGTATGTTTAAGACATCTTGTAATGGGCGATTCCGCTGTTGGATGTAATTGAAATAAAATAAAATAAAATAAATAAAAGCTTACCTGTTGAAATGGAGAAACTTTCTTCTGAAGAGCATTTGGAAATTCCATCTCGCACTGTGAACTCCTGGAGAAGCCAGACCACAACCCACTGTCTCCAAAGCTCAACGACTGATACAGAGCAGTAAAGTTACTCTGCGAATTGAATAAAAGAAATTCTAATGAAACAGAAGACTCAGATTAGTACAGTAAATTGAGTAAAGAAAAAAATAAGTAAGATTACTAAATTTAAAAAATAATTTTAAGTGTTTCATAATAAAAAAAGTTCATTAAGCATAATGATTGTACCTACATTAATTAATTTAATAATGAAAAAGGAAGAACACATACATGGTGGCTAGAATGAATGAGTGGTCCCGAGATGGATGGTTCTATTATTTTTAGGGGTTTTTCTAGTTGAGAAATAATTGAAATATTTGCCTTATCCAGGTTCTAGTACCAACTTTAATAATCTCAGCAGAGATAGACAAAGAGTTATTGAACAGGAAGCACATGCTTCTGCCTGCTGGATGTTTTTGTTTTCAGCAAATACACAAGGATTAATGTGGGCTCATTTTTAATTACTACATGAACACAAGGGACTACAGCTATTTTTTAGGAATGATTACAACTTCTACTGACCTTGATGACATTGACATCTTGATACCTGTCCTGATCAATCCAGTTCGGGATGGAATCCTTCTCTCTGTGTCCATCAGCTTTGATGTCTGACACAATCTGACCAATGAATGCCTCCCATTCCTGTAATAATAATAGTTAAATAACAAAACTAGTCATGCATATACGTAGCAAACTTGAAAACTGCTGCACACTGTATGAGACTTGCCATTTCAAAATCAGCGTACCTCGCAAGTCTCCGCTTTGTAGACGCACGACACAAAGGGCACTCCACATTTCGATCGAGCTTGACACTCGGTTTGGGGCCCCCACAACCACTTGCACGCGGACATAGCGAACAGACCACCAACAGCTATAAAAAAAAGGATATGTCGAATAATCAGCTTCTTGAAAACAAAAGGCAGAAAAATAAAATTCTAGAATCCAGCAACTTCTTGAAAATAAAATCCAAGGCAGAAAAGTAAAATCCAGAATCGAACAACTTCTTGAAAATAAAATCCAAGGCTGAAAATCCTTATTGCAGTAGCGAACTCGAACACGTGGTACTACTCTATGGTTTAGCACTCTAAAGGAGGTCCATTTTCAACGGACGTAAAAAAGGGAATGAGGACGTTTGTTAGGGAGACGGTTTGTACGTGGTGCCCTGGGTCGGACTGTTCCATTTATTTCGAAGGGGTGTTCAGTTTGGGAACAATGGCAATTAGTCGGTTTATCCAGGTAAGTATTCACGAAATAGACTCAGTGTACTTTAACTAAATGGTAAACTAAGTAATTAGCATAAAAATGGGGCAGTATTGTATACTCTTGTACAGAGAAGCCGTAATAATTTTACTCATAACTTTTTGTTTTGGTCACTGATGCATTTTGGTCGACAGTCAGGCAACAAATATATTCTCTGAGAGCCTTGTCCAAGAAAATGCTAGGCTGCTGACCATCGGGGGTCTAAACATATTGATAAATCATCAAGCAAGTTTCTTATTTATGGATTTGCATTGGCTGCTAATGAGGTTGTGTGATGTGCTTTAAAATTCATCTTCCAATAATAATAATAATGTTATTAACGGTAATAATAGTTGCTTACATTTTCCTGGAACATCTCTGGATGCATCCCGTGTGCCAAATGAAGAGCAAACATCAGCCTGTCTGACTTAAACAGAGAGCGACACACATACTCATAGACGAGATCTTGAAGGCATTTGATCAGGCGTTGGATCCTCATTTCAGTACTGCTTCCATCCTACGCAAAAATCACAACACCAAATTATTCACACTTACATCAAACCGTTTGCAATGGAGTCACCCCTGTTTAAAATTTACACAAATCAGTTTTGTATTTCAATAGAGATACGTATGGATGAACTGACAATTGCCATGGTTGCTACTTATGTAGAATGCCACTAAAAAAAATAGAATCATTCTCAGGTATAAGAACATGCTACATCCTCATTTCCATTGCACTCTTCAACTAAGTATACCTTATCACTAGATTTCTGTGTCATATACATGTGATTTGTCTATTGTGTGATATGACATCATCACACCCAAATATAGGTAAATACCATATAATACAAACGCAAGTTTGAAGCATCAGAAAGAAAAGATAGGAAGAGTATAATACTAAAATACTTACGGTCTTTCCCTGTAATGCACGGGAGAAGATTCTCAAGAATGCTCCTAAACTGAAGCGATACATGTTATTCAGCTTTGCAAGGTCACTGATAACGAAAAATAGGGTGCTACCATTCTCTGCCAAGGGCAGAAATGCATCACGTTCCTGAAATTAAGGGAAAAAAATATGAAAGAGGAACAAGATGAAACCTATATGACTTACAATAGAAAACTCATTTTTATCGGGACACCAAACAACGACAGAGAGAAGAATACTGGTAAAACTAAAACCCTCTCCCGTAAGTTTAACTCCTGAAGAAGTCCCTAAGACAATAATAGAACAGTTTACCTGATCCAGAGATGTCTGCAGTTCAACAGATTCTGATAGAGAATTTGAAATGGTTTGACTGCTTTCCTTGGTCTTGTTCAAAGAGTCCAGCAGATTCTTATTCTCCAGAATGTTCCCCTCAGCTTGGGCCAAAGTCTGATATAGGCATAAAAAAATGAGAAAGAAAACATGACAAAATGCAGTAATACTAAGGGAAGCCATTATTGGTCGAAATTGAGGTAGCAAAGAGGTTACTAAACGTGCATAATATTGTGCAGATTATTGGAATAAGTTAGAATATAAAGGGTTAAAAATAAACTTTAAAACCAACCTCCAGTAGAGACTCCTCCAGTTTGGCCAGTTGGATCTTGAGATCCTCCTCTTGCTTCAGAAGCTCTGTCTTGCGCACCTCAAGCTCAGGTTTCTCATGCTGAATGGTCATCGCCAGTAGCTGCAACAGAAAAAAAAATATATAACAATAAAAAAACAATAATGAATATAATACACAGACAACATTAATAAATAATAATTACAAATATTTAACTATAACAATGATATGCTGGGCTGGCATGTAAATTATTTGGCTTTTCCAAATCACTGAGTTATCTACCATATACTTGTTACTTTTGACACGCTGCTTTTATAAAAACTTTTCTTGTAGTTACAAAGCGCTAATTACAGTACTCTCCATTATCATTTACATACAGGTTCTTCCTAAGAAAAGCTTACACTCACTAAAACCACAAACCACGACAGAAGATAATGTATTAATTCAAGCAGCTCTGCAAAATGGAAATCAATGGTAACATAGAAATAAATTTAAAACAGAGAGATTTCAATATAAACCAACCAACAGCCAACCAGTCAGTCAATCAATCACTCAAACCAACCTAATCAATTCAATTACTATGTAGGCCCTACCATAACATAAAAAATCTACTAAGCTATGGAATGACCATTCAGATAAACTTAAATGTTCTTCCAATGTACATATTTTCAAACAAAGTCTACTTAATAACATTGTTATCCCTGAATCTGAGAAATACCTGGTAGGATCTAAAAGGAGCAAAGCGAGATAGGGGATAGTGTCCGATGGGGATGTTTTCACTGGTGGTTCAGATGCTGTGATTTTTTGGTTTTCTTTAATTCATTAGGTTTTCAATAATTTTGTTTCTTAATAGGTATGGCCTTGCATACCTCTGATAAAAACACCCATGGGTGATTCAAGTGTTAAAAGTTATTATTATTATTATTATCATCATTATTATTATTAATAAATTTGCTATTGAAATGGTTGATACCTTGGCTGATGAGGTCGCCTCGTAGTAACGGGTACAGCATCGGCTCAACCTTGTCTATTTCCTGTATGATCAGTGTCTTGCCGAACCTTACCGCAAGCTCCAATGCAGTACTGAAATTTGCATCCTGTTTAAAAATGAACAAAAATATTATTGCTACGAGAATGTTTGATTTCTACATCATTCATGTTTACATGTTAGCTTTCTTTTTATCAATTTCTACCTCAACCGAGATGCAGCCATTGTTTCCTAAAGCATTGTTGTTTTCTAGCCTAGCCTCTATATGCACACAAATATATATCTCACCTGTTGATTGATGACTTCTAATCTTTGTTCTTTCAGGTGAGTTTTTAGCCATTCAGTCGCCCTTGAGGATGGATCCACAAGGAATGGACGTAGAGAGTTCTAAAGTTAACAATTACAAAAACAATGTGAATTTTGGAAAGGATAAATTTCATTTGAATGATTGAGTGTATCATTTATTTAGAAAATGCTTTCACAATATCATTATTACTTTAATAATATTAAATACAGTTCGCCCTCCAATTCGAGACCACGTTTGGGACCTGAAAATCTGAAGTGGTCTCTAGGTTAGCTTAGTGTTAATACACTGAAGATTGTTATTCTTTGAAAAAAGTGGTCTCGAATTAGAGGTGTCTCGATTTAGAGGGTGCACTAATTAATTACTACATTATTTAATTATCATCATCGTTATCATCATCTTATTGTTATTGTGATTATTAATACTTAAAATCATCATTTTAATAGTCACATAAAGGTTATCACTTAATAAATAATATAAATATTGTTATTATCATCAGACATTTATTTGATTAATATAGTTTTTTGTTTAATTAACCTCTTTTGAATTTAGAAAATGTTATTACTAAATGAATTATAGACGTTCTTTACAGAAATAATTGATTCAAAACAGTGCATTATGATGTGTAATAGTGCATATTATGAATAGTGGCAAGTCACAAGTTAGCAATTATAGGCATTATTAGTAAAACCACACAAATATTAAAGCATTCAAATTGTTAAATTGTATTATAAACATAAATTTACATCAGCATAAAATCAATATATTTTTGTGTAAGAGCTTTGACATCATTTTTCACAAATATAGTTGCTACAAAAGTGAATTTATATAATAAAAAATAAAGAAAATTTTGGTGTGGGTCTTGAAAACAAATTTGAAATTAACAATCAATATTGTTGCAAATGGAACTGTAATAAAGTTATGTAGTATGGTGGGCAGAGGTAGACGGGGGCCACCCGGCCTTGCAGTTTTCCACCCAGTCTAAAGCTAATTTCATGGCCCTCCACCCACCCTTATTAACCCACTTTTCCATCCTTATTATTTAGAGTTTACCAATGTTACCACCCACCCTTAGTTTGCTACCGCTACAACCCTGGTAATACCAATGTTAGTGTATCATGAAAATGATTTGTTCTAAGCAGACATATCATCGATGTTGTGCCTAATGAAATGAAATAATTAACTGGATAAACAGAAAATTGTCAATGCTACATAAAACACCCCTCAGAAGAAATTAGAACTGTCCTCTCAGCAAACAATGTAACAGGGCTCTAACACCATGCAACAAACACTTCTAGGATGGGTTGAAGAGTGAGGTAATTGATACTTTGTGTTTTTACAGCGAATAGGAAATGGGGATGACTTGCATGATGTAGGGCTGCTGTTACAGCAAGCTGGAAGGACTGTTCTATTATGTTTTTTGGGGTGTTTATTCATGTAACTTTGTTAATAATTGTTAGTTTGTCCAGGTAATTCATAATGTTTGGCCATAAAAGGTCTACAACTACCACCACACAAACACGCCAACCAAACATTTATCTTACCCCTACACCTAGATCATTGATCTAATCGTGGACACATTAAATTAGGTAAAGTTGTTGATAACAGAAAAACAGGCGGCCATCAGTAAGAAAATCATCAACAGTAGGCATGCAATGGTTGGAATAATGTAACACATGTAAAAAGCAACAAAATGGTTAATAAAAAATAATTTAAAACAATTCATTCAATTAATTTTTGACAATAGAATGGTTTAAAAGAAAATCATATTAGTATAAATTAAAAAAACCTGAATAAATAGAAAATTGTAAATATCAGAAACAAAAACACAAACAAAATTAATTTGTTTTCTATTGAAACAGAAAATTCAACTATCTTCAAACAATTTTACTGACTTAGAATCAAAATTAAAAACCTGAAATTTAATTAATGCTAAAGTTGTTTAAGAAATATTGAAGCTCTCTGAAATAAACTGTAAAATATTAATAGTAATTAACAAATTGTTGTTAAAATAAGATAACTTAAAATCATCAATATCAAATATTTATTGGTTTACATTAAACTGTGGAAGATGTTTGCCTGGCATCATTCTGTTCACACCATTTACATCATTCTCATTGGTCCATGCCAGCTGAAGGTGAAAATATTACACTCCTTTTTTTTTTTAAATATATCAAATGAATAATTGCTTGATTGATTGATTGATGATTGATTGATTGGCTGTTAATTGGTTGATTGATTGATTGACTGATGGTAAATTGGTTGAATGATTAACTTATTGAATGATTGATTAATTGATCAATTGATTGGATGATTGATTGATTGACAGCCACAAATGATCAAACATTCATTTAATTTTTCCAAGGTTTGAAAAGATAAATGATGTACAAATAATGTGTGTATGTATGTACTGTATGTATAAATTAATATTTAAAGTCATGCTGATTAATTGTGTCAGTTATGCAAATTAGATAATGAATATCCATAGGCACATGCATTAAGGTAAGCTACTGTGTCATGTCATAGTCACAAACATATTATTATAAATAAATAAATGTTTAATGTGGTCATATATGAACCAAGAATCATACATTCCAAGTGTGGTTTCCTGTTGTTGCAATATCATATAACTTAAATTCATGAGCCTAAATTGCTATAAAGATTTAATCAGAAATACAAGGATCTAAATGTTCTGACTGTTCATATAGAATTCAAATTCACTACAATATAATTTAAAACAATTATAATTGAATCCAAAGAAATTAATGAAATACCGACCTGTAGAACAATGACAGCATTCTCCATGGACAGGTTATCGCTTGGAAGTCCTTCCCCTTTCCATATCAACTGCTCACTTTCTGTGCTCAAGAACCGACGCATGTCAAAGCCTTGGAGGTCAACCTTCTCCAGCCACGACGTGAGTGTGGCACGGCGCTCGTCTTCTGGAGCGGCTGATAAGTACGTAGTGAAACCAGCAGCGATTTGAGCTTTCTTGGGAAGCGTCTCAAGTTCAGTTTCAAGTTCTTTCACCTGTAAATACATGATTATGTTTGATTTTTTATAGGTAAAGTTGTTTGCCAATGGTGTACAGA